ATTCCCCCGGATAAGCTGGAGGAGGTGGCTGGGGAGAGGGAGGGCTGGGCTTCTCTGCTTAGGCTGCTGCCCCCGCATCCATCCATCTTCATCCCGGATAAAGCGGATGAAGATGGATGGATGGATAGCCTGTTAGAGCTGTTTTTACAAAATAGTTTCATGTTTCATTCAGTTTATGTAATTCTGCTTTAATTAGATTAGCCTTTAGCACATTCTCACATGATGTGCATTGTAACATATCTTTACTCCAAATACAGAGGAATACTTTATTTTACCTTTTAAAACTCTGTTTGTTCATTAGCATTTATATATTTGTATTTATTTTAAGTAGTAATGAATAATGAAATAAAAGTTAAAGTAGTAATGAAATAAAAATACTTTGTTACTGTATTTAAGTACAACTTTTTGGTATCTGTCCTTTATTTAAGTATTTTTTCCTTCATTTGAACAAAAATAAACAGTAACACATCCTTTTGGTGTATCGATCACATACAAAGAGGTGAAAGAGGCAAAACCATATAATAGTTTATAGTTTGTGTATAATTTATAGTGTAAAGTGTGAGCTTGGGTTGGTGTTTTTTGTACTTTTGACAGACGATCATAAGCTGAGTCGGTGCCAGGTAATTTCAAACGCAGCGTTTCTATCAGCTCAACAAACACAAACTGTGTGTGTGCAATTTGTCTCTCAGTGTGTTGCAGCTGCTGTATTTGACAGGGAGAGGAAAGAAAGAGAGCTACGTTCACTCAGAGATGGAGAAAGATAAGAAAGACAGGACAGGAGAGGAAGGAGAGAGCTTAGATTTAAAGGAAGGATGCTCAGTGGGGTTTGAGAGACGTGGAATTTAAAGCTAAGTCTAAGCTAAGTGTATACAGGTGAGTGTGTGGGGAAGAGAAAGCAGAGTTGGACTGGTGCACAGCAGCTGTGTTCAGACTTATGTCACGTCACGTGTAAGCTGGTATAAAGATGCCATAAACAGTGGACTGTGAGTGCCGAGCATGGAAGTCAGCCAGGTCTGCTTCCATCTTATTTCATACAGTTGTGTAAATCCACTGAGAGCAGTAGAGCCCAGCGCAGCAGCAACAGCACAGGTCAGCTGATCACAGCCCATACACTAAGACAATCTGCTGGACCGGTCGGTAGAAATCATTGTTAGCTGTGATTCTTTTCCCTTGAGCTACTACAGTCAACATCCACCTGAACCTAAACCACTGACTGTTTTCTGATTATGTGTGGAGTCACCTTCTACGACGTAGGCAGCAAAAATGGAGCTATCAAAAAAACAAACATTATTTTCCTCTACTTCTGTTCTACATAACTGATTCAAGCTGAGTACATTCATTAGATTTCAAAGTAAGACTGAAATAATGTTTCCTTTCCTGTGTACTCGTATATTTTTATCATATTAATAAGTTAGCTTTGCACAAAAATACCTAGCAGTTGGCGCCGTTTTGGCTAGCAGTGGGCGCCGTTTTGGCTAGCAGTGGGCGCCCATAAGCTGTAGTCGAACCCGAACTTTTACTGAGTATGTTTCACACTAGAGTCTGTACGTCTGTGTGGCGGAGGTGGGGTCCCGGGCACGGCTGCAGGGGAGGAGTGGTGCAGTGAGCTCAACGGGGCGGTGCTGGAGACGCAGGTGAGAACAGCTGATGGCGTTTGGACTGATGATGGTTTCCTTCCCTTTTGTAGTGAGACGGGAGAGGAGCGGAGGGGAGGCAGGAAATCAGCTGAGACCGGAGCTGTCACACTGTGGTCGGTCATAACATATGTAAACTATAAATAAATGTGGCATCTGGCGACAAACAACTGTGCGTGTATGTACGTGTGTGAAGTGCGTTTCACAATCTGCTTAAGACAACTGCATAGAAACAGTTCTTTGTATGTAAAGTAGAATTGTGATATTTTCTTTACTCTGAAATGGGGTTAGCTTTAACATGCTAAGTGTGTCCAGTGTTGGTTGTTGAACTGACTTATTGTTCGGTTTGCTGTGCTATGCTAACACTATATGATGGTGGTGACAATACGTCTCATTTGTGTTGTATTTACAGAGTATTGTACTGTCATCCAGCACTCCCTGTGGCTCGAATGAGTCATCGCTTTTGTTCCATCTTTGTTGATTTTATCTACTCCTGCTGACCTGCGTGTGTGTGATAGTGCGTGTGTGTGCATGCGTGCGTGAGTGTGTGCGTTTGTGTGTGAGACTGTGTGTGTTTTTCTGAACACAGAATGGACAGCTCTCATCAACATTCAGATTTCAAACAGAAATAAAGGCATTAACAGCGACTGTGCTATGTAAAGGTCACCACTGTAGATCTCCACGCAGGCTTAGCATGTAACCGCTCAGGAGGTAGAGCAGATCACCTACTGATCGGAAGGTTGGTGGTTCGATCCCTGCATGTCAAGTGTCCTTGGGGAAGATACTAACCGATGGAGTATGAATGTGTGTGAATGTAGTCAGAAAGCACTAAGTAAGGAGAAAGTGGTTGTGAGAATGGGCTGAATGTGGCATGTTGTATAGAGCGCTTTGAGTACTCTGGGAGAGTAGAGAAGCGATTGTGGCTCAAGAGTTGGGTGTTCGTCTTGTAATTGGAAGGTTGCCGGTTTGAGCCCCGGCTTGGACAGTTTCAGTCGTTGTGTCCTTGGGCAAGACACTTCACCTACTGGTGATGGCCAGAGGGGCCGATGGTGCGATATGGCAGCCTCGCCTCTGTCAGTCTGCCCTTGGGCAGCTGTGGCTACAACTGTAGCCTCCACCAGTGTGTAAATGTGTGTGTGAATGAATAGTGCAATTGTAAAGCGCTATATAAATGCAATCCATTATTATTATGAGAATCAGTCCATTTAGCATCAGCTCCAGATGTTTTTTTCCACAACACACCATTTAGTTCATCTTTGTTTAAAACGCTTAATAAGACCGTCTACATCTTTTTACCCAATGAGTCGTGCATATTTCTTTGTGCACATGACAATAAATGCTTTGAATTTGAATTAACACCGTTCACATCAAAACAGGTTCCAAACACAACAGGTTCTTTTAAGATCCACAAATTAGAATTACAGAGATGTGAACAGCTTTACCTGAAAACTCCCCAAATGCATATCTGAGACCAGAAGTTTTGGTCCAAGCTGACTGATAGATACGCTTTAGTGATGGGATTTACGGCTCTTTTTAGAGAACCGGCTCTTTTGGCTCCCAGCCGGCTCTTCAGGTTGTTTTGCTTTAATTAATTTATTATTAACAATAATATAAAATTATGGACAAAATGAATTACTAATGTAAAAAAACTGTGGTTTTATTTATATATGTTTATATATAAATATATGCGGTGGCCCCCAGAGACAAAACACGTACAAACTCCAAAACACATTTCTAGCATGAACTGAACTTCCAAAACAGCTACCTAGATCACTTAAAGTACACAATTTAAAGCATGTATTGTTTGTGTATTTATACACAAGCACTCATATATATTCAAATAATTTTAAAAAATGTTCATTTACCTGTTACTACCACACACCAAATCCAGTCGTTGGTACTTGCTGGCTTGTGTAGCCACTACGTAACACTGCCCCCAGCATCCTGGAGCACTTCTGTTGTGTTTTGTACGTGTTTTGGAGTTTGTACGTGCTTTGTCTGTAGGGGCCACCGTAAATATACTTGTATTTATTCACTCCACATAAAATGTAATAAATAAATCATATAATACAAAAACCAACTATTTACATTTCAACTTTTAACTATTTAAATTTTCAGCTTTTTCTTTTTAAACAAATTTAAAGTGAAACAACACGAAACACTGCAAACCACAACACAATTAAATGTAAATTAAAATATGAAAACAAAAAGAAGATGCACATTCTCTGTCATATGGGCCTGCATGAATCTGCATCCTTTATCATACTGTTCCTTACTGGTGGGGTGAAGGGAGCGCCATGCATCGCACAGCCCAACGTCGCTCACTACCGTTTGATTATATTTGTGGACTGCCAATTACGCTGAGTTCCTGCTGTGTTGAGCCTATCCATTTCTTCATTCAGTCCCAAGTTGAGGTCGCCCCTGAGAACAAGTGTGCCATCTGAGTGTTCAGAGAGTGCACTGAAAAAACTGTGGAAGAATGAGGGGTCATCAACATTTGGACCATATATACTTACAATACATAGCTTTTTATCAAGTATAGATAGTTTAATGATTAGGAATCTGCTCTCTGGATCTATAACTGTATCGAGTACTGTGAATATTTTTTATGTATTACATTGCCACCCCCCTTTGTCTAGAGTAGGCTGAGAACACATTAGGGAACTCAGGTGTTTTAAGTTCTTTTAAGCTGTGACAGGCCTGTGAGTCTCTGGTAATAAAATTTCTGCCTGTAGTTTTTTGAGCTGGTTAAACATCTTTAACCTCTTTTCTCTGGAGCCAGCTCCATTTACATTCCATGTGACAAACCTCAGTGCGCCCACGGTTGTGTGTGTATGTAGCTAATGTTAAACATTGTGTGTAACGCTTACACTGGTGAGGAAAAAGGAAATACATCACTCATGTGTAAATAGAAAGAAGAAAAGTGCGTGGTGAGAGTCTCCATAAGTCTGACTATGTGTGTGAATATTAACTACTGTGAGCGAGTGTATACGTGCTGGAGTGTGTGTCCTACAGGTCTGTGTGCGCTGTGAGGCTGTAGTGGATGTCCTGACACTGAGTGTGTGTGTGTGATTGTGCTGTTTGTGACTGTGTAGGAAAACAGATGATCAATGCAGTGAAAGAGAAGCACACCAAGGAAAGGGGTGAGCGGGAGGCAGGAAGAGAAACCTGGGAAAAGGGAAGCATTGTAATCAACACATCAACATTTTCTTTCTGCAGTGATCAAACATGGCTCTGATTCTTCTTATCTGGAGTCTGAAGGCGCAGCCATGCATTTAAATAACACATCTACACTCTGTGTATCAGGTTTTGACAGCTGGGGATTGGACCACCAGCGCGTCCACCCCTGACACAAACCAAAATGCTTCTATCCCAGTGAGTGCAAGATTCCCTCTGTGGTGCTAGTAGATTTATTCCACAGCAGGTATGGCTGCCACAATTTATTTTCCTGTCAGTATTTAGTTGGAATATTATGTCGAGTGACATTTGCTTCCCTTGAGGAAATTATTATCACAATCTTCACTTTGTTACCTTCATCACTGTGTATAGTTTTGTTGCCACATAAAGTTAAGGTCAGGCAGGGGCTTGATTTGGTCTCTTCCACTGTGGGGTGAGGTCTGAGTGAAACCTCTGAGTGTGCCTCTGTTTTACATTAATGCAACTGTCAGTGTCTGGATTCAGTGCAAGTCTTGTTGCATATATTAGGGCCAAGTGTAACATAGCCTCTATGTGTCTGTAGGCCTGCATTGGTACTCTACAGTACTCATACAAAATGCACACAATACAAATATACTCCTAGTACAATACCCACAATGCAACTGCAACATATTCTGAGATCCTGTGTTCAATGCAGTGAATTGAAGAAGCCATACAGCACAATGTAGAGGAAAGTTAGCAGAGACTTCATTGTGTGTCCAGTTGACAGCGACTGCTGTGGTATGCTCCATCTGTAACAATGGTACTGAGTGGGTGTGAAAGACAGTCTTAGTTCATCTCTTCAGCACCAAAACCTTTAACAAGCGTACACGATTTTAAAGGTTTTGTTTCTTTTTTAAATAAAAACTTACTTTTTGTGCAGAGCTTGTGAAAAGCTCCTCAGCAGTAGATGCTTTATCAGAAAACTCTTTGCTAAAGCATATAGTTAGGGCTGGATCAGGTGACCCTGAATCCTCCCTTTGTTACACTACAATAGATCCATGCTGCTGGGGGATTCCCATGATGCACTGGGTGTTTCTTCTTCACTCACTATGTGTATGCACCACTCTACATTTAATTATTGTTCCAAAATGTTCGTCTACCACTCGGTCTGTATCTGCAGCTCCTCCAATTGCTTCCTATGCACCGCTGCCTGCTCCTTGTGCATCCCTACCAGCTCAGTCGTCATCTGAGCCAGTGCCTCTACTGACTGTGAGGATCAGGACTCCGCTGCTCAAATAACAATTGTTTCCTTTCAGCACCTCAGCAGATGGGTTGTAGCACCCCCCTCATACACACAGACACACACTTTCTATCTCTCTCTGTCTCTGGGTAGCAGTCTTTTGATACTTGCACTGCCCCTGTGATCTACATCTCCTCCCATTGCCTGGGGGGCTTTCTCCCCATTGTGTCTATTGTTTGGCTGTGAAAATGGGTTAAGAAAGGCAGCGGTGATGGACAGAAGGCCCATGACTATGAGAGAAGGGATGAGTGACTGACACATCAAGATGGGGGAGTAGTTGTTGGATTGTGAATACAAGACAGAACATGAAGAAATCATGGGGGAGGGTGGTGCTTTGAGAAACAGAAAATCCCAGCCATGGGGACCATGAGCCAGTGTCCAAACACGGATAAGGAGGACAGTTCAGGAAGTTCAGAGGATTAGAAGGGAGGATGCAAGGATGAAGAGGACAGACAATGGAAAGGCAGTTGGTCCAGCTGCCATACAGTGCTGGTAAAAGTATTTGCCCTTTCTAATTTCTTACTTTTGGTTTATTTATTTATTTGTCACATGTTTTTGTCACATGTGGTTTTTAAATGATTATTTAATTTATTAAGGAAAAAAACCATCCCTGACTGTGTGAAAACACTGAGGTTTGCTACATAAATACCTTTTACTAGTTTCAGGTTCAGTTTAGTG